GTAATATTTGTAGAGTAAAAAAAGATTTATTTTAAATTTGCATTTAGTTAAATTTATATAATTTAATTGTCATTTTACTTAATTTGCATAAACAATATAAATGTGACAAAACAAGATTTGGAATACTTTCGATAACTATGCAAACGTGTTCTAATGTATGTATACAAGAAGTGTATCAAGGTATCTGCTAGTCGGGCAATCTCAATTATAACAATCTTACATATAACGCATTGCTCTAATTAGGGCGTTTGCTTGGTTTGGTTTTCCTCTTTAAATTTATATTAAAAAATATATATAGTAAATTAATTGATGATAAGCAAAGGCTTAGCTTTTCCTTTTCTGGTTTTCGTTCATTTTGACTAGTTCACGAGTGGTTCATCTGCAAAAGAGAACCGTTAAGTTGGCCACAGTTAAGGCAACGTCTTTGGGGTTTCATACGTCTGCTCGAAAATTGGCTTCAACTGGGCTCGACACATTTTCACATTTTCACAATTTTATATTTTCACATTTTCCGCACGCAGCTTTTTTCGGCTTTCAGCCCCCGCTGCTGTCCAACTTGTCTGATTGAATATTTTTTCGTGTTCACTTTTTGGCGTGTTGTTTTCTGTTTTTGCTGCCGCTCGCACTTGTTCTGCTTTCTGTCTTTTTTTGCCAACCGACACTCGAACGCGTTTTCTATGCCATGTTTTTTGCACTTTATGCATATTTTTTGCATTTATTGCGGTACGAGGGGAGCTAGCTGAGCTGTATGTGCATGTGTGTGCGTGTGTCGAGCCGGGCTAATGTATGCTCGTCACGTTTAGCCACTTGTGTCCTGTGGGCTTCTGGCTGCCGTGTCTCCACATTCACTTAGTGGCAAGTCCTGGGCCGAACCTCTTTTGCATATTGATACGCTTCTATATGAAATCCACTTGGGTAAGCCTTCGCAGCCCTCAAACCAGCCTTTCACTTTGTAATGGAAATTAACAGCAGTTTATGTTGGGCTTCTCATCATTTGCAGCATAAATATGAGCTAATAATACGCAGGGCATAAATTACACTCAGGCAAATCACACAATATTTGAGCTAATTTAGATGGAAAACCTGCAGACAGTCGAACATTAACCTAAAACTAACAATAAAATTCCGTTTTTTCATATATTAAATATACTCTTTTTTGCTAAAATTACAGAGTATAAAAACTAAATTTAATTGGGCTAATTGTGGATACACTGCTTGCTATATTTTCAGCGTGTGTTCAAGTGCACTGCTTGCTTTTCCCGTAGCGCTCGAAAGTAGGCAACACAAAATTTAATGGTCCCAACAACTGCATTTAAAGGCCGTTAAGACTGACCTATCCCAACAAATATTCAATTTTTATATGGAATTTGTGTAGTAAAATGGTTGGTTCGTGTGCCATAAAAATGCACATAAAAAATGCTAAAATGGGAAACTCCAGACACTCCCAACTGCCAGAGTGGAACATTTTCGCTTGGCACGCAAAGCAATTAAAGCAACAACGCAAACTTTTCGGCGCCCAAATGGCGCACGAAGGCGCCTCAATGTCAGCTCATTAAAGTTTAGTGGGCGTCTTTTGCATATGGCCCAGACAAGTGCAGTCAGCCCAAAGAATGGGAAATGGGGAACGAGGACGGTGCTACGGGCGAGTGCTCAACTGGCAGCTGATAGACGTTTTATCCCTGACACGCCCAAACGCCCACACACTCGCAAAGTGCGCGCCAATGTCGAGGTGGAAAGTTTCTGCTCGGCGATAAATCAAATTTTTGCTTGTTAACTCGCTCGTTTAAATTAAGTTGAACATTGGCTAAGAGGCGACGCTAAGAGGCCTAAACCAAACTCTCATTCTATGTAGCTTAAAGCATTTAATGCGCCTCCTAGCGCAAGAACTTGTGGGGAAAGCCCAAAATTGCCGCGCCAGCTAATGAAAATATTTGGAAACTTGCCTTCAACGAGCCCCATCAAGTCTGAGGCTTGAGGTAGTCGGCTGGTAATTAGCGCAGTGTATACTTTTAGGCGGGCTTTTTATGTTGAGTCAAAAATAGTGGCAAGAAAAAGCGCTCGAGTTGAGTCAGCGAACTGCATAAAAAAACTTAAGGAAATGAGATTTCTTTGCCTTGCAGCCGAATGCAATCATAATTTTTCACTAACGCTAAGATGAAAAATGGTTTCATTAAGGTTTTATCATAAATTAAAGCAAAATTGAAAAACTACTAAATTTGTATTAAAATAAAATAAATATATATATTATTATATTTTAAGCTATACCTAAAATGGGTATAAGATGATTTTAATATAATATAAATATATATATTATATATACAATCAGGTGTTCGATTTCTTTGTTTCAGATAGCTCAGTTAGATTTATGCTCAGAAACTCAAGAGTAAATGTTGCAGTCAGTTTTTGGACAGTCTTACAACAATTTATTTTATTCATTAATATTAGAATTTTAATTAGAAACTGAGTTGCTCTCTCTTCAACAAATTTTATCAATCTATCTTCCCTTCTTTTATATAGTGTATCATAAGTATACATGCGAAATATTTGTAACTTAACACTTTTCTATATTTAAGGTCTTCTATTTGCATCAATACCGAACACGAAACTTTAGCTCCTGTGTTGTCACATTGGTGGTGTTATCTAACACTACAACACTGTGGGCTTGTGTTCGAGGACCAGGTCAGCAGCCCATTTCATGTGATTACTCACAGAACGCAGCAGCTCAAGGGGGCAGGAATGAACGAGAGAGAGAGAGAGAGAGGGATCAGCCAGGACGCCCATGCCCAATCAGTGCTGGGGCCCAACAAAATGCTTCACACATGGCCCCATAGGGCGTCGGCTGCTTGTTATTGTCATTGTTATCAGCAATGTCAGTGCAAACAACAACAGCAGCAACAACAACTACAATAAATAGAGCCCTGCCCATGTCTCATGTGGGCATATGTTAAACATTTTGACACTTTTGCGCACGGTTGAGCCGACGCCAACGCCAAAGCCAACGCCTACGCCGAGTCTGAACTTTGACAATCTAATGGAACTTGATGAGGGTACATTTCCGCTTCAACCAAAAAATTGCAACAACAACTGCTAACTCTTGCCACCCATTGCAAATTTATTTAAATTTCAAAAAATTCCTGCTGTCCAAATTTGTAACAATTTGCTGTTGTTGCCCGCTTGCCTTTCCTTCCACCTGACCAGGTGCATTGGTCAACGATAATCAACGCACTGAAATCAACGACTGTCAAAATTTGCGTTACATTTTGTGTGGTGCCAAATGCAATTGCTTTAGTTTCGATTCGATTGCAGCTGGGGCGCTGAAGCGGGCGCACAACTAAACCGCATTAGCGGTCGCTGCAGAGCTTTGCTGTGGGCAACTAACGCCAGATTGCAGCGAGAGAGAGGGAATGGGGTAGCAGGAGCTTAAGCGGCTGCTGCGCATAGGGTTTTAGTGACTGGCGAGTGTTGCAGCAACTGAAACTTAATTAAGTGTTGGTTGAAGGCCCTTTGGGCCAGGCAACGAGGCAACTATTGCTCAGCGGTTGTCGATAAATGTTAACTGTTTTTCGGTTTTTGCGGATTTCCTGTTGATTTTTATTGGAATTTCGAAGGATGTTGCTATAGCAACAGCAACAGCAACAGCCAAATGAGATGGAATGTGGTGTGTGAGGTCTTTGAGGTATTTATTCAGAAAGCTGTTTATTATTAACTTTTAAATACAAAAAAACTGTATATAAATTAAAAACATATTTAAAATAAAAAATTAAAAAAAAACACTATTTAAAATATTTTTTAAATTTTTAATTAAATAAATTTGTATATAAACTACAAATATACATAAGAAATTAAATTTAAAATGAAAAAAAATTAAATTAAATATATGAGTAACATATGTTTCATATATTTAACATATTTTATATATTCCCCATATGACAAAATAACAGAATTCATTCAAAATTACATAGAAACTGTTTAAGTTAAATATTCATTTCTTATAATACATTATCTTTACTTTAGCTAAATAAAAGGTTGGCCAAAATAATTATTTTTGATTTATTTGTAGTTGCAGCGAATTCTAAGTTAGAATATATGCAAAGTAATATAAGCTCCTTGATGAGCTATTCTAAGTATTTTAAGTAAAAGCACTTATACTAGATGCTGTCTACCTAGACTCTGGCAGCTAACAAATTTATATTGTGTTGTTGCCCCACATATACACAGTCAGTAATCCTTGGCTAAACTAACCTCCCTCTGCTTGTTGCACAACAATTGATTGCACCCTCGCTTTGTGTATATAGCATATATAATTATGCTTGTTAAGACTTTGACGCTGAAATACCCGCGAGACACAAAGATGCCCCACCAACGCATATACCAGAATTCCAAAGAAAAAAGCGGAAGCCTCTGGGACAGCGCATGCCAATTGGTTTAGCTGGCAAGGGGAGATGGGAAGAGGAGGAGAGGTGGCGGGCGTGCCCGTTCTTTAGCTACGCTGCCAATTTTCGTTATCGTTTTCGAATTGAAAATTTGCGTAATCACATTTTAAGGGAAAATCGCTTTACAAATGAAATTAAATCGATTTTTTAAGCCAGACACTTAAAGCCAGATACGAATCGTTGGCAAAACTTGAGTGTTTGCCGTTTACATTATGGCAACTCATATCCGTTTCCGTTGCCACTTCCACACAGCCACAGCCACAGCCACAGCCACATCCACTTCCGCCGCTCGAACTTAAAGTCCGCTGAAATATGCGGCGACAACTTCTTTCTCAATATCTTGCAGTTTATTTTATGCATTTCATAGCCCTATCAACGTCATCAAATCGTTAGTCAAATTTCCCAAAAAAAACTTTTTAGAGTAAGGAACAAAGAATTGAAGTGGGCAAGAAGGGATGTTTCTCTTGGCAATAAATATGATGAAGTGCGTTGTGCGACTACTTCAAAGTGCAGCTCAGCCTGCAGACTTAGAGCGATATGTGCTTCTGGTGTCTATGCTAGCAGGCAGGGCATATCAGTTCTATAGGAACCGAATTGTCAAGCAACAATTTAGCCTTGTTTATTCAGTTGAATATATTTCTTACATATGAATATATTCATATATATTTCTAACAGCATGAATAGCCTTAAAATACTTTATTTTCTAATGCAGATCATAGCAGCATTGGCGGCATTCAACAAGGTCATCAAATCACGTTAGTATGCAATTCTGGTACATTATAAATTGATATAATCGAAATCTTTTTGTTCCACATGTGCCTAGCTCAATGCCGATATATGGCTGATGTTGGACCTTGCGATGGTAAAATTCGAGTTTTTGGCTATGATTATGTGACTAATCGCTGTGTACACTTCTTTTATGGTGGCTGTGGTGGAAATCCTAATCGTTTTGCGACAAGAAGCAAATGCATGCAAACTTGCTTTGTAGAGAATGCGGACGGGCAAGATCATTTAGAAGATGCACGGTTTGATATGTTTTATAAAGATGAATTATAATGTTCAACGTGAAAGCAAAAATCAAGCGCAAACCTCTCATTCTCCATAATTATTATTTTAATATTAGCTGTTTCTCTAGATTTTCCACTCAATTCTGTTTCTACAGGGTACAACTTGGGCTTATACTCGCGCACTTTGGCAACTCGCTTTATGTCTTGTGCAAACGCATAATTTCAGTTGAAATTTCTTTTGCCCCGTCGAGTTGCAAGTAATGCGTTTTCTTTTGACGTTGAGTGTCCGTGTCTGTCGTTCATCTCTCTTTCTCTCTCTTCCTCTCTCTCGCTCTCTAAATCTATGGCTGCCTCTTTGTGTAACCGTCTGTTTGCTGCCAATCTAAACGGCCATTAAGTCAAACAGCTCGAGTAATTTGGTAGCTGCAGCTGAGTCTCTACTGCATTCATTGTTCGCAATGGCAAAATGTCTAACATTTCATTTTCAACACAATTTTGGAAATGATTTTTGAGATACAGACGCCAAATAAGTTAACTCCCTTTAATCTCGTTATTGTTTAAAAACACATTTTATATAAAATATGTAAAAAAAGCGCCTTTGTGTATGTGTTAGAGTGAATCAGCATTACTATCCGCAATCGAATGCTCTCATACTGCGCCTGAGAGTGACTGAGCGAATTATGATGGCTTCTGGCTGAGAGCAACGGCTTCGTCGATCACGACGACCATTAAATTTCCAAAAATGAACCGAGAGTCGGTGTGAGAGAGAGCAATGCAGTGCCGCTCATAAGCGCTCAGTACCTTTGGCTACCAAATCGAAAGCGGGAGTGAGATGGCTATATCAACATAGGTACACTGCCACTGTGTGTGTCAGCGTGAACCCGTGAGTGAGTGAGAGATTAAGTACAACCAATTAGCGAATAGCATGTGCCTATCAAGAGAATCTAGCAGAGCAAGATAATTTTTGTCTGAGAAGGGGGAAGGGGAAGAAGGAGGGATCCACGCTCTTTAAATACCAGAGAGCGTAAGTGAACTGCCTGGACTGCAGTGAGAGGGAAGTAACACTATTTAATTTCCAATCAGCGCATGTTTAATAGCAGATGAAATGTTAACAAACCGACATGAACTCTAGCTTATATTTAAAAGATTTTGCGTTTGAGTTCATCTTCACTCACATTGCTTCTGAGAGGGAGTGAGTGAATTATGAGAGAGTCTGGCTGACAGAATATGTGTGAGAGAGAGAGCGTGTGTAAGGGAGTGTGTGTGAAGGCGTGTGTATCTAAGCAATGCTATATCAATCGCTTTATCAACATGGCCGATTAAATAAAAGATAAGCTCGCATACAGTGCGTGAGGCTTCGTCCGCGAATGAGTAAGTGAAATAGCAAGTGAAATAGTAAGTGCGAGACAATCGCGATCAGTCGTTCGACCTGTAAAGACGTGAATTCGAACAGCCTTCGCTTAAGCTCTACTGCTGCAGAGTTCTAAAAATAGAACTTTGCGGTGCATTCTTCAACGCAACAGCAACAAAAACCGCACACGCAGCGTTTTCTTATCGCTTGCTTCCGCGTAACTCAATTGCTTTAATTGCAATTTACGAAATTTCGTCGCTTGGCGCGAGTGCGCCTGCACTCAAAAGCACAATCCGCGATGACATCTAATGTCAATAACCTCGCTACAGCTGTAAAGGTAAATGCAGAAATGCAAGCCCAGCTTAACGTTGTGATGGCAAATAGGCAAGCCTCCATCATGCCAATAAACTCAAAAATAGATATCGCCTCCGTGCAAGGCATCACTAACAACAAAAACACGAAACGTAAACAGCCAAATTCACCAAAAACCATCAAGAAAAGGCTCATCTTCGACGAACCAAGCACCAGCAATGCAGCATTAATATCAGAAAATCGATTTTCACTGCTCGTAGAAGAAGATGAAGACTACAGCGAATCACCTGTAGCTCCAGAAGCCCCAGTATTGACCGACCAGCAAACTACTCCGAAACCTCGTCCGCCCCCCATATGGTGTCCAAACATCAAGTCTGTGGCCCTACTTCAACAGATAATAGATAAAGTAATTGATGCTAAATCATACGTAATTAAGCCAAAGAAGAATAACATAGGTGTATTAACCCAATGCAGTGAGGACTATCGCAGAGTTATAGACCACTTTACTAAGCTGGAATTGGAGTTCCACTGCTACCAGCTTAAGGAGGACAAACCATATAGAGTCGTGTTCAAAGGGCTTCACTCCAGCACTGATACAACACTAATTAAAAAGGAATTGGAAACCAAAGGCCACACAATTACAAATGTGCACAACCCACTGAGCCGTATGGACAAAACACCGCTAAATATATTTTTTGTTGACGTGGCTCAGGCCCCCAACAACAAAGAAATTTTGGACATTCGAGTTGTCTGCAGGCAACGCTGCACAGTGGAACTGCCAAGAAGATACAACGACCTGACACAATGCCATCGCTGTCAAGAATTTGGACACACACAACGCTACTGCCACAAAGCTCCCAGATGTGTGCGTTGCGCCGGGAAACACGCATCCAAAGACTGCACCCGCGAAAAGGACCAGGCACCAACTTGTGTGCACTGTGAGTTACAGCACCCAGCCAACTATAAGGGCTGCCAAGTATACAAGCGGTTGCGCAAATTGCAATCCCCAGCACAAAAAAGGAGTCCCACACAAACACCGTCTACGGGTCCGAGTACTGCTTCCGAAATTACAAGGCCCCGGAGCATTACCCAAGCCACGAGCTTTGCAACGCCTATTAGTGGTGTTTCTTACGCACAGGCCGCTAGAGGTGGACCGTCAAATAAGAATACCACAAGTGACACTTTGTTCACTGAAATGCTTCAGCAACAACAACGTCAGTTTGACGCAATTAATGCCGAGCTCAAAGCGATGCGAGAAGTACAATCCCAACAAGCAACCATGCTAAACAGTTTAATGGCCATCATAACCAAGCTTGCCTACAAATAATGGCTTTACGTGTGGGTATCTGGAACGCCAATGGCCTGAGAAACAAGACTCAGGAACTGGCTGCGTTTCTCTCACAAGAAAACATAGATATAATGTTAATAACAGAAACTCATGAGTGCCCCACTACACAAATTTTCGGATACGAACACTATCAGGCTCATGGTGAAGGAGCAAACTGCTTTGGTGGATCCTCAATCCTCATACGAGCAACAATACCGCATACACCTTTACTGCCAATTTGCAACGCAACAATGCAGGTCTCAGCCATCACCCTGCCTACGTCTATTGGAGCGATCGAAGTTGCGTCAATTTATCTTCCGCCAAACACTGGTCTGTGTGATCATCACATGGAACAGGTTCTAGGCCAAAGGTTGAATAAGACCCTCATCGGCGGCGACTGGAATGGATGGCACCCATTTTGGGGAAGCAATAGTGCGAATCGTCGCGGAGAAGTCATATTTGAGGCGATTCAAAACTTACAATTCAGCATATTGGCGACTGGAGCCCCCACCCGTTACCCAATTAATGGACACAGGCCCTCGGCAATCGACTTCGCTGTCTACAAAGGCATCTGTGACCGGCAATTGACCATTGAAGAATCCTTGGACCTATCCTCTGACCACCTGCCACTAATAGTCACAATCCACGCGCAGCCACAGCCCTTGCCCATTAGGAAACAACTACTGCCAGCAGGATCAGATTTAGGAGTCTTTAGGCGCGAGCTCCATTACTCTTTGCACATAGAAATGGAACTTAACACTCCTGAAGACGTGGACTACGCAGCAAACAAACTGCAGGAAGAAATAGTCAAAGCTGCGCACCAAGCCGCCCCACCATCTTGCCAAACAAGACAACAGTCTCCGTACAACATCCCCCTCACCTTGGAGGCCCAACACCTACTAATACACAAAAGATGGGCCAGGAGACGCTGGTTAAGATTACGCACGCCTGATGCCAAATCCATGTACAACGAAGCCACGAGGCATCTTAAAGCTGCTCTCGCCCTGCTTCAAAAGAGGTGTATCAGCGATGCGCTGGTACGAGCTGAATCGCCCACTGACGCAGAGTTTCAATTATGGAAATTTACAAGAAAGCTCAAACGGCAGCCAATACGACGTCATCCCATTCGGAGCATTTCTGGTTCCTGGCACATTGGAGACGAAGCTCAAGCTGAGGCTTTTGCAAACCACCTTCAAGACCAATTCACGCCGGTGATTACCGCAGAGGCCTCAGAAATCGAAGCAACAGAAGACATCGTTCTCTCGCCCCTCCCAGCTGAAGACCAGATAACTGGATGTACAAAAGAAGAGGTTCTTGAACACATCAGAAGAGTGAAGGCAAAAAAATCCCCTGGATATGATCTAATAAACGGCAGAGTCCTTAGAGCACTGCCTGACTCCACCATAGACTACATAACTATGGTGTACAACGCCATGCTCCGCATCCGGCACTTTCCAGCCTGCTGGAAGCGCGCCGTGATTGTGATGATTCCTAAGCCTGGCAAACCCGTGGGAGAAATTGAGTCGTACAGACCAATTAGCCTGTTGCCAGTACTCTCCAAAATATTCGAAAGAATATTTCTGGAACGAGTACTGACACATCTGGGACGCCAGGAGGCCATTCCAAACCATCAGTTTGGCTTCAGGAGACAGCATGGAACACCGGAACAGGTTCACAGAGTTGTGCACCATATCCTTGGAGCCTTTGAAGAAAAGATGTACTGCTCTGCCGTCTTTTTAGACATCAAACAGGCGTTTGATCGAGTTTGGCACCTGGGACTGCTGCAGAAAGTGAGGACCACCCTTCCAGCCCCATTTTTCGCGTTGCTATCCTCATACCTTATTGGAAGAACCTTCCAAGTGTCAAGGGGGCAAACAGTATCCTTGACTAGACCAATTATGGCTGGAGTACCACAGGGTAGTGTTCTAGGCCCAACACTTTATACTTTATTCACAGGAGATATGCCAACTCCCGAGCCAAATATAGGAAGTACAGATGCAGTACTCATAGCGACCTATGCAGATGACAC